GAACAAGATTAACAACGTTTTTTGTCTGTTTCACCATACAAATTCTGATATTTTTTTTACGTATGTTAGTTTATCGTTTTTATTCTCTACAGGACTTCAGCTTTCGTATCTCTTAGCGTCTCAAACCAAAAACAACCCTCGTCCCTTGCACCCCAACCTACTTCCGTTGCCTGTGTTTTATAGATGGATTTCTCGTTTCCCTCCGAAGGCGTAGTCTTCACAGTGTGCAGTTACCTTCATCGTCGTATCAGTATAGCTTACTTTGTTTTCTCAACTGATGTTTAACGAGAGCACAGACTTGTATGCGATCCAACAAAGTGCCGATTTACTTACCTATCGGAATGTTCCATCAGCATATTAAATTTTGACAGGGATCAGTGAAGTTCATCTCACTGTATTTCGCTGTACGATGATGATGTTAAATTTAGTCGACTAATCATTAGCATTCCTCCCCGCGTTAATTTTCAGGTACAATCATCAGGAACTATTATGTGATTGTTGTTTGCAATGTCTGGTTTGAACACCTCAAGTATTCCTGAATACTTCAGTTTACTGCCTTCAGAAATTTGTCGTCTTATCTTGGGTAAGAGTGTTTTCAGCTATGGCATTTTCTTTAGGTTACTTGCTTTACAATGGGCACCACAATGCGGCTGGTTCGCTGTTTATGGAAAGCAAGGAATTGGAAGAATTACGATCGCAATATACAAAACTCGCCGAACTTCCAATGAATTTAACACAAATTACCTTGATAGACTTAATCAAAGATTATTTACAAATGACCAATTTTGGTAAGTTTTTATTGACCTTTAATGGGATTCGTTAACTTATTGAACTCGGATACTAGTTGCTTAACTTATGAATGTATTACTTTTCCTCGAAGGACAAACTCGACAATCAGTTGTAGTTACTTTTTCATATTGGATAGGTAACTAATAGATCGGTCCATTATAACCGTAGTTCCCACTGGAGCCACTAATTACCCTATAAATTTTTAAGTTGTTTCTCCCGTGAATTGTGATTGTCATACTTCGATTGGTTCCTTGAAGAGAGTAAGTCTGCTTCATAAAAACCAGGACGTTTTGTAGGAGGTTGATACAAAAGATATCTAGATTTACACCGGGTCTTTTAGAGGACGTACTTCTTTCCAAGTGTTGATTGAAAGGCATGTTTCCGGTGGCATAGAAACTCGTTGGTCATTCGACAGATTTTCTATATAGCCGTCCGATCGGACTGTCGATCTTGTCTTTGCATGCCATATGCGACCTGGATGAGGTTTCCATGTCTCGGTGACATTTAGCTAATCGAAATCTGACATAACAGCAGCGGAGTGATGTCTAAAAGCCGCATCCTGTCGAACGAAAACAAAAAATAATTCCATACCGCATCAGTCGTTGCGTAGGATAATCAAGACCGCGCTGCCCATTGCATCGAGCAGGGTGGGTAGTGATAAGTGGGCTACTGCTCAGATATCTCAACCTTTGTTTAACTCTTTCTTCCATACCCAACCCTCTCCTTTTACCCCTTCTTCCGACCTGTAAAGTTCCCTCAGACAACTTGTTCGTCACTCGCCAAAGTTCGTTTCCAAGTAGCACGATAAGCAGTTCACCAAAAAATAGATTGCAGATTCTGAATCCTCGTCAGCCACTGAATCTGGGAGCCTTTCACGTGAGGACTCTGATGCAGGTAGGTCAACAAGCTTGTCTGGAGCGTACAATGGAGTCCTTGGGGATCGATATTTGCTGCGTGTCGGAGACTCGAATCCTAGATTCCAATACTATAAACCACTTAAGTGCACCGAGGTTGTCTTCGAGGTTCTTACTCCGTACGCAGGTGATCACGAAGCCCGTTCAGTAGGCCAGCATAGGGTGGGCATTGTACTCGCTTGGATTCCCGTCAACAGTCGCTTATGTGCGATGCGGCTCCATGGGTCTATCAGCTCCTGGAAGGGAAGCAACATCAAAAGGTGTTTGTATGCACCGACCAATTGCAATTCTGACTCACAAAAGGACGAGTTTTATGAAAAACTCACCGAACTCATTCGGTTGAGCTGCATCTCCGATATGGTTGTTCTCGCTGGTAATTTTAGCGCTCAAGTTGGAAAACTGAGCGCATCGGAAGCTTGCCTAGGCGGTCATCGTTCTCTGCCCTGCTAGCGAACAGATAATGGCGATCGACTTCTTCAGTTCTGTGCAGACCATCATCTGTTCCTTTCCAGCACCAACTTCCGACACAGCCTCAACGGACAGCAACGTGACGCTCAAATTCAACTGGCACGCTAACTCAGATCGAGCACCGTTGGTGTGGTTCAGTACAAAACTGCAGGACCTGCGTTGAATCTGATCGTGCATTAGTTTTGATGCAATTTACTCTCCAACTCATTGATCACATAAAAATCCATCAAACTCGATTGGCAAATCATCGCTTACCAGATTCAGCCGTTCATACCCGTTTTGAATCAGAACTAGGGTAAGAGCTAAATACGCCGCTGGGTGGTAGTGTAGATGAATAGTGGGATCAGATGAGCCGAGCTATGCACTTCGCATTGAAGGTTGCTTGTGGAGCTGAAGTGGTAGCCCGATCGAGGCATTAGGTATCTGATCAGTCAGCAGCAGTGATGGAGAAAAAACGGCAAATCCTGAACGCCCGGGATCAAGGCAGAGCTAGGTGGCATCTGCAACGTCAACTCAAGAAGAGTCTCAAAGAAGACCGTGAGAACTGGTGGGCAATAATAGCTGATGAAATGAAAGTAGCAGCTGCATCAGGGAATAGTGGAAGACTGTTCCAACTGATACGCAATACGGGAGGTCGGCGAACCACAGTTAGTGAAACAATCTGCGACAAAAGTGGGCAAGCTATTCACAATAGGGAACAACTGCTTGACTGGTGGGCGGAGTACTTCAACGAACAGTTCAGCTGGCCAAGCGCTAACCAGGCTATCTTCTCTGGTGTATCTGAGGCTCCGTGGGCAGTGTCATCTGAACCTCCTACTGCAGCAGAAGTTCGTTCTTGCATCCAAGCCCTAAAGAAAGGAAAAGCAGCAGGACCAAATGGGCTTCCTCCCACTCTTTCCAAGATGGGGGCGATTACCTCGTAGGCATCATTACTGATTTAATGCGTGATATCTGGTTACACGAGCGCATTCCATCATCCTGGAGTGAATCACTGATCGTTCCAATTTTTAAGAAGGGATCTTACAATGAATGCGCAAACCACCGTGGAATAAGTTTGATCCCAATCGTCACCAAGTTACTAGCTTCCATTATTCTTCGATGTCTGACGCCGCTTAGCGAGACAAACATCCGCAAACAACAAGCAGCATTTCGACCAAGTCGCGGTTGTATCGACCAAACCTTCACTCTGTGTCAAGTTCTGGAGCTACGCCATGCGCACCGTCGACCAACGGTTGTCGTATTCCTTGAACTAAAAGGAGCTTTCGACTCAGTTGATCGTGAATCCATTATGGGTTTGCTCCTTTGCAAAAAAATGCCGCAGAAGTACGTGAGCATCCTGAGTTCACTCTTCTCGCATATTTCTGGTAGCGTAAGGGTCTACGGCGAGCTGAGTAGGTCGTTGGTAACTAGCAGCGGTGTTCGTCAAGTGTGCCCTCTTTCACCATTCCAGTGGGGTGGGGTGATAAGCTGTGTCCATTTCTTTGCACCATTAGCCGATTGGACGGGGTCAGAAGGCCCAAGGTGTTTAATACAGAACGATGCTAATTGAAGCCGGTGATCGTTGCCACAGCTAAGGCATGATTATGATGAGTTAAATATCTTTTCATGCGTATTGTTTTTATCTCACTCCTAGGATTATATCCGGGAGATTAGTATTTTGAAGTTCTATCACATCTTTCTTTCACTTACTTGTCCCTCTCCCGCCAGTGGCTCATCATTTATCCAACACAAACATGTCATGTCAACTGGGTAGCATGGCATCGTTGTTACCGCAGTTGTTAAAGAACAGCACTGTCGGACTAAATCGTACCCCACCCATACGCCCAATACGCCCTTTGTGGATGCCCACTGGCAAGGCCTATCTGCCACCGCGTGTGATCAGCACAGATCATTCAAATGGAATTAGCGGCATACAAGTTAAGCAGAATCCCCACCTGTTTCGATTGCCTCTGGTCGCGGTCAGACCGAATTCGTTCACTGCGAGAAAAACGGGCAGTGTCCTCCGGGGAATGTGTGAGTGCATAAAAACCCAAACCCACGGGTTGCATTGTCTTTCCCAAACTGATGTCATGCATGGAATTTGGTATCGTTACTTCATGCTTTTACTGTTCATTGAAACAGGGAGTCACAAAAATCCTCATTGTCTGTCAGAACAGATTAAGCGAGAGTGATTTCAGTAACAAATCTTGTTTTCTTTTGGTTTTTATGTGGATCTTTTCTTTTTCTGTCTGTAAGGTATGAAAACTTATTTATCTCTTCTTTTCAATTCGCAGCTAATCGTATGTAGAGATGCACGATAAGTGTACATAAATGCTTTTACTTTCCTTTTTGTTTATTGGTTGTACATGATTATAGAAGTGTACAACAAATTTTCAGTAAGCTGACAATGGCCACACAAAGGCTACCTGGAGAAATACAGAAAATTGGAGTATACTTTGAGTGACTATCTTTCAGACCTCCTCGCCACCCACGATCCTCATTGGTTGTCTTTCCACCATCCGGTTCAGATTCAAACTCCGGATCCCTCGTATTAAAGGATTAAGTGTTACCAATCAGGCTACACCGATTTAAAGCTCTTTCTGGAAACTTCTTTAACGACTGTCATTCGTTTCTTAGAGTTGACTGCTAAGGCGAAAATGGAGGGAGGAGTTTTAGCAACAAAAATACAAAATTGAAGCTTCCTTCCATCAAGGAAGATAGGGTTTTTTTCATCCGGTTACGTAAGCTCTTGTTTAATTTGCAGTTTCACATGAGAGACTAATATAGGCGCATTATAACACCTCATGAAAGGATATGTGCTCTCTTTACTTACTTTTCTCCACATACTGTATATTTTTCTGGAAGTAAACAATAGTGTGAGCAAGTAAACCAGCTGCGCTCGTTGGTTTTTCATAGAAATACATTTAGTGAATCCTTTTTGTATACGTTTTTATTTGTTTCGGTTCCGTTAGGTCCTTCAGCAGCCTGCCTTGGCCTGAGAAACCTGGCAGTATTTCACCCACAAATAATGGAACTTTCTCTTGTTTCTAATGTTTCTTGTACTGTGACTTGTTGGCCCACAATCTGGATTCAAACGCGTGTGAAATGCATACATACAGCAACTGAGAGAGCAACGAGCCTCGTTTTATGTTTAATCACTCATTCCCTCTCTTTGTTTTCTGTCCTCTTTTTCACTACACACTCGCTCTTCAGCATCGGCTATTTCAATTTTGCCACCAGGCACCACGACTCGTCCATTGATCCGTTTGGTTCGGAACGAAACCCCAGTTTTCTTCAATACAGCTAGTTCAAAAGCGGAAGCGCTCGACGAACCTGGAACTATTTGTCGTCCAGTGGTCTGTGAAAAATCCACCTCCACTAGCCCGTTTCATGAAGACTCCTCTCCCTCTGAGTCGCCTGGTCCCCTAGAGGTTGTCACGGTGGAAGATCCGTGCGAGGAATCTAGGGATTCAGTTTCAGAACCTGACACACACGCACCCGGAGATCGGTTGATAGAATCTAGGAAAAGTAAAATTACTGTGAAGCCCGATCTAACACAATCAGCATCCAGCACTGTTGAAAAGAAAACAGGCGATCGAATGGATTGCGCCTCATCTCCCAGCACACATCAGTTCCCGTCAGGTGAATCCGAACTGAAGTCACGAAACCCCCCAAGTGGAACAATTATTAATACAGACTCTGAAAATAACTCCAAGGATACTTCCCCACAGGTGTCTTCTGGTGGCACCAAAAGCATCACGTCGTCGTCCGTAAACACTTTGCCGTTCACTGTGTTCAATCATCTACCTCCCGCTTCCGAGGCAAAGCGTTTGTCTGTTGGCTCCGACTCTAGTCTCCGCGAGGAATCCCTAACTCCTTCCAGCTCGTCTCGTCGAAAGCGGTACGTTTTATGTATCAGTCGGATTCAGACACTTCAATCATCATAATAATGATGCCCCATCAAACAGTTCCATTAATTTAGCTTTCTTTTTGCAAAGTCCCAATTCTTTTCAAAGCACAATCTTATTTTCGATTCGCTTTCAGCCTTCAAACACCTCGTCATGTTGTATCTGGTCAGACCACGATGTCTGTTCCTTTAGTGGGATCCGAGTCGCAGGACGACGTGGATATTCAGGTAAGCTGTTAGATGGTTTCACTAAAATTATCTTATTGTTCTTATCTAAGACGTCACAGCCTTGTAGCTATAGTTTGGCAACGAGTAGGAGTGACCCGGCAAACGCAATCTATCTTTGATTATATCGTGTGGTAATTTGCCATATCAACGTTTACCTTCCAACGTCCATGTCAAAATAACTGGTTCATTACCGATCCGGTGTATAGTTTTATCTATTTATGATCATTTTCTTGGTTTCCGTCCTTCCAAGCTGGTTTCATTTATTTCCAATTCATTACAGTCATACCACCCGAGCGGAAGTCGGGATGCCCGACAACTTACAAAGTATCAATTCCCAGGTATATTATGACCTGCGATATCCTTTTTCACCAGGGCAGCGTAATATCATAACATGACTTGTGGTCTGCTACGTCCTGTCTTGACACACTGGATTTAATCAGAGTCGCGCCTTGTTGACTCCGATGAGCCGTTCCATCTCATTTGGGTCATTGGTATGAAAACTCCAGGTATGAAACGTACGCCCCAAAAATTCACAATCATCCACGGCGTGTCGCACTCAGTGTGGGACACTTTGAGTTACTGTTTAGCTGACCGTCAGATTCAGCTTCTCCCACAGCTACCCCAGCACGCTCCGCTTGATCAGTTTCAACACACCCATTTTCCGAGGAGACAATCCACAAAGAGATCCAAGCCATGGAACGTCACAGAGTGCCAGGGATTAGTGGCCCCAGCTCTAGTTTAACCTCACGGAACAAACCAGTGGGAATCTCGAAAAGGGAAGGGGGTGGGGGGAGACGAGTGGTCTCCACCTCTAAAACAGACAAGCAGTGCCTCTGCGCTAACCACAGGAGCATAATTCTAATCTTAATAGCCCAGAAGCTGTTGGCGTCCGATATCCTCTACATATTGTACAATACGCCTAAAAATGAACTTACCAGGATCGAACCGGGTTTGTCGCCGGTCGTGAATGCACCGATGAAATTCTCGTCCTCCGACAGTTGCTAGAGCACGGTTATGCTTATCAGAGGCCAACGATTATGTTCCTAGACGTCTGCGATCCTCGATTCTAGCAATTGGACCGCTATGTGGAAACGTGCACTAAGAAATGGAGTGCCTTAGATATATATTCATCCTCAAAGAGTATTATTGTCACACCTCAAGCCGGCTTAGGGCCTGTGGTCAGTAAAATGCAAGGAAGTTGCCCTTTATCCTCATTTATTTTCAACCTCGCCATACAGACTACGCTACAGAATAATGGCGCTCGTGCATCCGCTCATTGTTTTCCCAACACCACTCTGTGCGAATTGTCCATCTTCGCTTGAATTTCCTTTCAAAATTTCAATCTTTATTCTACTCTTTTATCCTAATGGGACACCAAAAGACAGCAACCGAAGCCGGCGCACAAAAGTGCATGGTTAATGGTTGCAAAAACTGAAACAGAATACTTTGTTCACTCTAACAAACAGTTGACTTGAATTAGTCCCCGGTGATAGTTCTTGAGCTAGAATATGCCGATTACATCTCATCGCTGTTTGGCAATACACTGGCAGTCCAACATGCTTTTTACCACCTGGCTATCGACATCTCATGACATAGGATATGCTTTGCATCGACCAAATACAAAGTATTTATACAAATCCGACTGTAGTTTTTGCACTTATACTCTGATGGTGAACGCGAGGTGATCGAGAGCTTCACCCGTCTAGGAACCTAATTCGCAGCGGATATGACTTAGTGCCGTTCCGGCATCCGTTTCTCCTTTAAAGGAACAGTGTGCATCACCGTCTGGATACCCTTGGGTTAAACAGAGCGGAATGCTACCAGGCGCGTACCCGGGTTGTGGATAGGTAGTGCCACCGCTGTTTGTTCGCGACTGCTTATTTGTTGCGGTGTGCCACAGCGTATTCACAGTTAACCGTCGGTGAAGATATTTACCGAATGATGTGCGGTGTGCCTGGTGAAATCTCGTGTTTCATAAAAAAACGATAAATTAATGGAAAAATATAAAAGGGTATACGGCGAAACAAACAACTTTTCATTGTTTTTATCCGCTGTAATTGTTTGACCCGCGTTTTCTCTGCTTTGTACCCCTGTCCTCTTTTATTATTGTTGTTGCGTTCGAACCATACTTGTTCGCCAGCCGGTGACAAATATAAAATAAATATAAAGATGCTACGATTCTGGATCAGAATTTCTGCTTATGTTACCCTCCCATGTTATCCGTCCCAGTTTCTTGCAATGACCGCTTGTTCGTGAATTGAGGCCCTTATGAAATAAATACTCCGGGCCAATGCTCTACAAATCCTCAATTATTTTGGAGGTCTCGATGAGATCCCCTCGGAGTCTTCTCCTCTGAAGAGAAAAAAACATGTTCTGGAGCCTTTGGTATTTAAACTTCACCATCTAACCTTCAACCCTTCGTGTTGTGAGCCAGCCTATGAACCCCCTCTAGGCAAGCACATCTGTTTTGAAGAAGGGTAACCATGCCTGCACGCAATACGCAAGATAAGGTCTGATAATAGCCTTGGACAGGGACATTCCCGCATTTGGTCTTCCCCAAGACAGTGCTGACGTCGGTCTGAAAAGTTCTCTTGGGGCCTATTTTGCAGTTGCTGTGCACTGCTCTACCCACCGGAGACCCGAGGTGACGATGATACACAGGTTCTTAGGCCTGCTTACTGCTTCTACAGTAAACAGCCCCTGATCATGCACCACTGTTAGGCTTTCGGTGGTCCTCTATAACAACTAAATTTTACCATAATTTAGCGGCAGATCCCACTTCTGTGCCCGGTCGAAGACAGCAGCTATCACCCTTTTGAGATCTTCCCTTCGTCTCGACTCAACTACCTTAACCTCATTGGTGAAGAAAAATTGGGACGATTTCAACACTGTGGCAATTTCATTTGTAAATGTTGGGAGCAACAACGGACGTGGTACACCGTGTGACGTATACCGTACGGAACACTTGTTACTTACTTTGACGTAGCAAGTCCTGCTGGTTACGAAATCCCTTAGCTACTGTTATATTTGACTCTGCTCAAAACTTTCCGTTCTTCCTTCTGCTCTTTTATCTGACGGGACTGTCAAATGACATCAAGCAAAACCGACTCATAAAAGTGCATGGTATCTGACGGGAGCATGGGATGAACAATGACTTGGTTCGTCGTTGTACGTTGTGTACTGATAGTCGTTTTCCGAAAAAGAAAATAACCTTACACTGCCTCAAATCGCTTGATCCTTTTGTTTTGAATATGCCTGCTCGTCGTCTGCCTGTGGATGCCCCCATTACACGTGTTGGACAAGGCTTGAAGTAGCTATGCTGCGGTCAGACCACAACTTTATGCTAAGGTTCGAAGAAGTGAGCCTTGCTATTGACGTTTTTGATCGGAGGGTTAACGGTTTTCGTTCGGCAAGGACTCGGTGAAGTGGCTCAGAATACAAGTCAGTGGCGCGCGCACATACTGGTCTGCATTACTGAATTTCATACATATTAAAAGGCAAACAAATGGAAACCAGACCGAGGTGATCAAAAAGTGTGCCATAAAACAACAACAAGTTATTTTGTTCATATTTCTTCTCTGTAATCTGCTTCCTCGCATGACATGTCTACTCCTTACCATGATTGAATTGGTCATTGGGATTCACCAACTCCCGTAGACGCGCCAGCTACAGGTGGCTCATTATACCAGTTATTGCCCTTGATATTGGGATTCAACCTTCTCACTTCATTGAAATCCTCCGGGCCACGAAAATTCGGCGTATAGGAGGTGCTCAACAGAGGGTGGGAGCAATGCAATTTCTGGGTGGCGGTGCAGTCGTTTAGCAGCTGTCGCCGATGTGCTTTGGGTTCCATTGCCCCATGGTTCAAACCCCGCTATCACCACTCCACTAGTGGTAAGCTGTCTTCCGGCTCAATGCCACGTCTAATTTAGCGGGACCTTAAGCGACTCGCCACTCGAAATCATCAATGTGTGTAAAAAATGATACATTTTGAGAAGAACCCGGGATCGCAATACCAACCCAAACTATACGGATAGATTTTTTCAATTTTTGATGTCATATTCTTTCACATTCTCACCATTATCGGAATGGTGATTTGATTTACAGTTTTACAGACGAGTCACATAAATTACCGCGTTTTTCATGTGTACTTTCCTCGAATCACTGTTGCTCTTCTTTTTCTTTCATACCGTCCCTAGCGTTTCTTGTCCGCATTGTTCTCCAAACCGGAACAGCTTGCCACTCACATTAACGCTAAACTCAACAGTTTACCTAGCCCGACTGAATCAACCAGCCGTGGGATCTGCGATGGCCGAACCAGAACAGCCGGTGATTTACGAGCTCCCGTCTCGGAATTCGTCAAATCGACCACATTGGGAATCGCTTCCGAGAAGTCTTCCGAGATTGGGAGCAAGCAGAGCGATATTGTGAATCCGCTGTTAGATCTGTTGGAAGTACGTTTATGCAGAAAGAATGCTTGCATATGATATCCCGTTAGTTAATCCGGGATATTCGTCCGTCAGTTTTTGTGTTGTTGATCTCCTTCACGTATAACAGCAAACCATTGTTTCAGTATAAACTACCGTTAACTGTGTACTTTCGTGAGCTAGTTTTGGTTGCTATTTGATAGCCGCCCATTTTGATGATGGAGTAGTGGGAAAATGGGAAGGTCGAAAGCAATGTCAGAGTGGAAATGGCGAATTCTTGTAGACTGAGGTTTAAAAGAGATTGACAAGATATACGCGTACTATTGCTTGCCATACTCAGACACCACTCAGTGTCTCTATATAATATTTATATTTTTACACACGTCTTAATCCAAACTGTGCCAAACAAATCATGGTACAATATTCTTTATAAACAAGAAAAGCTTTCCATGATTTGCATGTGGGCTGAATACTGCCAGTTTGCCCAGGCCAAGGTAGCTGAATTTTCTTGAGGAATCCACAAGCGGAGCCTTTGGCTAACCAAAGCTTGACCCGCAAGGCAGCAGAGCGGTGTGCGAAAACCGGGATCCATTGGGAGCCGGTGTCCAGTTCATCGGATCATATGCCCTTCGGACGGGGTCAAACGTCTAAGGTGCCCAATACACCTCGATACCCAATCGAGCCGGTAGCCACTACCACAACGAAGAATTTGTGTGTGTGAGATTCTTACGCCTCCTCGCGGTTGATTTGGAATCAAGGGTTTTGGCCAACTCCCGTAGGTGAACTACCAGTGATCTACCAACCCTGATGTCGGCTT